TTTTTTTTTTTTTTTACTCACATCGCCATCTCTCTCTCTTTTTATTTATTTTCTACTAAAGACAAAAAAAACTTAAACTTGTAATTTGAGTTACACGTATTATATTTCCTTGTCAGCTAATAATTAATAAAAAAAATCCCAACTTGAAAACATCATATTCATAAACCACACCTTAATATATATATTTTTACTAGTACAACACCCGTGTATTACACGGGTGCTTGCTAATTTTTTTCTTAAAGTTTAAAATTAATGAGAAAAAATAGTTTGAAAATTTAAATACATTTTATAAGAATATATATATATTATTATATATTTATTATGATACTTTTTATTTGTGCGACTTACTTGTGTTATATTATACTAATTTTTTAACTTACACTATATAACTACATTAAATATAAATATATCAATTGAGAAATAATTTTATTTTTTTAATGAATTTTAATAAATATTATTATTTTTTATTATTATAAAGATAAATTTTATTTATTTATTTTATATATACAATATGAATGTCAAATCGAAGATCATCAAAAGATGATTAATTTGATATATTATATATGACCGATAAGAAATACAAAAGTTATCTACTTTTGAAATACATTTATAAATCAATAACTTATTGAAGGAAGCAAATCAAAATTTAGGGATATATTAGTCACTTAGTGTCTCACTATGTAAAATTACAAATAATTAAAGAGTTATATTAGTAAAAGTGATATTAAAATACCTAAGTTAGCTAAGTAATATTTATGGAATACCCGAACCTAGATTATTAATTATTAATATATTAATATTATTTGTCCAAACATAATTACGAAGCATGATTCTTGGCCAAATAAGATTTTGAAGCACCAGAACCAGCCACGTAGGCTCAGCGCATTCTGCAATTATATATAGGGAGGATTATTTATTTTTTGGATCAATTACTAAATTAATTCTAAATTTGGTAGCAAATTAAAATTTAAATGTGTAACGACTATGTTAGGAACTTAAAGTTGATTGACACATTCACAACTTTAACTGCGATATTTGGTTGCATTGTTGGAAGAAAAATATGATTGACACATATTTTATTGTATTTTTTCTAAAAATTAGAAACACCAATATTTTTTTTTTATTTATGTTAATTTTCTTAATATATGCCACAAATATATAATTTATTTTAAACGTTGCATGGTTAAAAAAAATTTAAATCTCAATAAATTTTGAATGATAAAAATAACTTAAGAAAAAATTATAATTTTTATATGACAGAGATACATGTCTAATTAATAAATACAAACAAAAAATATATTTTATATATGTGCAAATGCACATGATCAAATAATAGTTTTTTACTATAAAAGACAAAAAAACTTAAACTTGTAATTTGAGTTACACGTATTATATTTCCTTAAATGTCAGCTAATAATTAATAAAAAAAAAAGATCCCAACGAGTATACGTTACGCCCAAGATACATGCATGTACAAATTAGAGTAATACCATCTATATATAGACTTATTATTTCTCAAATATCAATTGTGATAAATAAAAATGAGGAAAAATATTAAGGTCCCGTTACAAAATCATTTTGTTAGGTTTATACTGTTATATTATCACCTAATCGTAAAAAATAATTGATCTAAACCCGACAGAATGGTTCCGAATTTATGCCTATAATTTTGTGGCCTATAATTTTGTTATTTTAACCCGATAGATAAGGAATATACCAAAAACCCAGCACACTGACTTTGTTATTATTAAAAAAATTTGTGCCTTTTCTTCTGCATAAATATCTGTACCTTCACACTCTGGTATGTTAGAACTTAATAGAATAGAAATATCAATATGAACTTTATAAATATGTATGCTGCTTTATACTCTGTGCCATCTCTATAATCTCCATTACCAAAATCATAACAGCAGCAGCTTCACCTAAGTGCCCATTAACGTCTACCAGCTGTGTTGTAGCCTGTAGGTCGTTGGTGCCACCCATCTCTCTCTGAACCAGTCTGCAGAAGTATTCTCTCTCTCTCTTGAAAGACCTTTTCTTTTGTGAGTGTGTAGAACAAATTTTTGCCTCGGCGATCACGACGGGCAATTTTCGAGTAAATTGGGACAAGCCCAGGTGAGCTTTCGCTGTGTTCTATAATGGGTTTGGCTCACTTCAATTTCATACCCACTAATTTTGCCCATAGTATGAACGAAAAGTAATTGAATTGAAAAGGGGGTTCTTTGGTAGACGAACAGACACGCAAGAGAGAAAAAATAGAAGTGTTTGAACGTGATTGTTTAATTTGTGATTTTCTCTTTTTAGTTTGTTCCTCTCTATAATAGTCTATACATCTTTAATGTAGTAGAAGTGATTTTGTTATTTCTAATGTGCAGATAACTTTTCATTTCCCCACCGTTTGATGGTGAAATGCTGCCTTTTCGCGCTGTTTGAGCTCCTCCCATCCCCCCATCATACGATTGAGTGCCGATATTGTTCAGATTTTAGCCACTGATTGTTGTTATTTTCTTGGTTTCAAGGCTGATATTTGTAAGAGCTGTAATGGGTATTGATATTTTCTTGCCCACTTATAAAACTGCGCCTGAAGTTCCAAACGGTTTATCGGGTCCCTTCAAAACGGTGCCAGTATTGGAATTGGCCTCAATTTGCATAAATTTGACTCTATTTCTTGTGTTCATCTTCATTGTATCTGCGAGGCAGATTAGGTTGTGTTTTGGTCGTATTCATATTCGGAAGGATAATCTGTCCCGTGATACTGCAGCCGTCAGGCGTAGTGGAATTCTTGATAGCGACCAAAGTCAGAGCATTGTGGTTGGTAAAAGTTACACAGCTTCCATCTTCTGCTGCTTTTATGTCTTATTTGTGTATGTTTGTATACTGGGTCTTGATGGTGTTAGTCTAATTCGGGTGGCTGCACCAAAGGAGGGAAGAAAGTCAGATTGGACGGTTTTACTTTTACCCGGGGCTCTTAGTTTATCCTGGTTCGTGCTGAGCTTTTCGGTTCTTTACTGCAAGTATAAGGCTCTCGAGAAGCTTCCTCTGCTCGTAAGAATCTGGTGGGCCACCTCCTTTCTGACCTGTCTCTGTACTTTGTATGTTGGTGTTAGAGGACTTGTGGAGGAAGGATCAAGTCACTTAAATTCTCATGTCCTGGGAAATTTTCTTGTGTCCCCACCTTTTGCATTTCTGTTTTCTATTGCTACTAAAGGTGTTACCGGCATTCGAGTTCATAGAATCCCCGAACTTCAAGAGCCATTGCTAGTTGAGGAAGACTCAGATTCTCTTAAGGTCACTCCTTATAATGAAGCTGGCCTTTTCAGTTTAGTCACACTTTCATGGCTGAACCCGCTCCTCTCGATCGGGGCAAAAAGGCCGCTCGAGCTCAAGGATATCCCATTGCTCACACAAAAAGACCGTTCAAAAACAAATTTCAAGGTATTGAACTCAAATTGGGAGAAATTAAAATCCGAGAGCTCAAGAAAACAGCCTTCTCTCGCTTGGGCTATTCTCAAGTCTTTTCAAAGAGAAGCTGCCTGCAATGCTGTATTCGCTGGGGTGAACACTTTGGTCTCATACGTGGGTCCCTACATGATCAGCTACTTTGTCGACTATTTAAGCGGAAAGGAGACGTCTCCACAGGAGGGCTACATTCTAGCCGGGATTTTCTTCATGGCAAAGCTAGTCGAGACCTTCACCACCCGTCAGTGGTACTTGGGAGTCGACATACTGGGCATGCACGTGAGGTCTGCTCTAACTGCAATGGTATATAAGAAAGGGCTGAGGCTATCCAGCTCGGCGAGGCAAAGCCACACGAGCGGCGAAATTGTGAACTATATGGCTGTGGATGTTCAGAGAGTGGGGGACTATTCTTGGTACCTACACGACATATGGATGCTTCCAATGCAGATTGTACTCGCGCTCGCCATTTTGTACAAGAATGTTGGGATTGCATCTGTTGCTACCCTTATTGCCACCATTATCTCAATAGTCGCAACTGTACCCATCGCGAGAATTCAGGAGGATTATCAGGATAAATTGATGGCGGCAAAAGATGACCGAATGAGAAAGACTTCCGAGTGTTTGAGGAATATGAGGATTTTAAAACTGCAAGCATGGGAGGATAGGTACAGAGCGAAGCTCGAAGAAATGCGTGGAGTGGAATTCAAGTATTTAAGGAAAGCGCTCTACTCGCAGGCATTTATCACTTTCATATTCTGGAGCTCGCCGATTTTCGTGTCGGCCGTGACTTTTGGGACTTGTGTTCTGTTGGGTGGGCAGCTCACGGCAGGCGGGGTTCTTTCGGCACTGGCGACTTTCCGGATTCTGCAGGAGCCGCTTAGAAATTTTCCTGACCTGGTGTCGATGATGGCCCAGACCAAGGTGTCACTTGACAGAATTGTGGGTTTCCTACTGGAGGAGGAACTGCCGGAGGAAGCAGTCGTCAAATTGCCACGAGACTGTTCGGATGTGGCAATAGAAATAAGAAATGGGAACTTCTCTTGGTACAGGGGTTCGGCTGAAGCAACCCTTTCGAACGTGGAGATCGAGGTGGGGAAGGGAATGCGCGTGGCCGTGTGTGGAGTGGTTGGTTCTGGAAAATCGAGCTTCCTTTCTTGCATTCTTGGTGAGATTCCAAAAATATCCGGTGACGTAAGTCTACTTTTATGGATTTCATTTTCTTTTGTCTTTTCATTAAGTGATTATTATAATTTTAAAGAAACTAATTTTGATGGATTTAGAGTACTGTCCCTAAAGATCAAAATTAGACTACAAACATAAGAGTGATGTTTGAAATGTTTTTGCTTATAAAGGGAGTAAAGTTGAATGCAAATCAAACCACAAAGCATTTCGTTTCATTTTTCTCGGTGATAACTTTCAGAAACCTCTGAATAATTTTGTAGCAAAGCTAAACGTATGTGTAGCTTTTGTATTATCACCCCTAAATATTTGCTAATGAATCTTGTTTCCCAACCTTTGGTTGTGTAACTCAGGTCAGAATATCTGGCTCTGCAGCGTACGTCTCTCAATCTGCTTGGATCCAATCAGGAAGCATAGAAGAAAATGTCCTTTTTGGTAGTCCAATGGATAAGGCAAAATACAAGGCTGTTATTCATGCCTGTTCATTGAAGAAGGACTTGGAGCTATTCTCGCATGGCGATCAAACCATTATCGGTGATAGAGGTATAAACCTCAGTGGTGGTCAGAAGCAAAGACTGCAGCTTGCAAGGGCACTATACCAAGACGCTGACATTTATTTACTTGACGATCCATTTAGTGCTGTTGATGCTTACACGGGCTCTGAATTATTTAGGGTCGGACATAATTGAATTGAATTGGTTTTTTTTTTTTTTTTTTTTTTTTGTCTTCAAGCAAAATGAATCTGTCTGAAAGTTGTTTTTTGGGGGAACACAGGAGTACATACTGACAGCATTAGCTACGAAAACTGTTGTTTTTGTCACTCATCAAGTTGAATTTCTGCCTGCTGCTGACGTGATTCTGGTATTGTTTTCTTGGCACTATTTATTCTTTGTATAAACTTAATTTTGCTTAGTGTTGTTGATCTAAGCTGAGTATTATATTTGTCTTATGAGACAGAGTACTAGAATTATGAAAATTATTGGTAGACCCAAATCTTTTATGTACTCACTTCTTCCTGAAATTTCGTCTACTAGGAAAACGTAGATCACACATTTGTTTATGCACATATTCCAGTTGAACTTTTGCCTAATGTCTAAATGTCACTCAAGAAATTAGTAAAAATGAAATACCAGCCATGAAATCCTTACGATTAGCATGAACGAGAGTGTTTGCGTAATTTATCCCTCACGCAAAATAGTATCTAAATTTGTAATCTTTTGTTATTAGCATGAATGAGAATGTTTGGTGAGCTTATTCAAAATCAGCATTTTCAGCCTTCTAAAAGCAGTGATTCTAGGATA